GGGGGCAGCTGAAACGTTGAAAAATTATGAGTCGACTAGTGCGGAAGGTGCATCATTAGATACCGAGGTAAAAGCTCGAATTATCCTCATCCACGCGACAGCACGATCCGCATATCGGCAAAGCTTAGGAGGACAAGGCAAACCACAAACGTAGCAGTGTCCCTTTCCTCTCTCTCTCTCTCTCTTTCTCAGGGTAGAGGAAGTGACAAAAAAGAGAGGAAATTACAGGCGGTCGCGAGGGCGTCCATCCGTAAGTCGAACACAGCAAGAAAGGGAAGAAACGCGAAATACATGATGAGATGGGTGTGGATAGCTCTTGCACAAGCGACACGTACGACAAAGAGAAAAAGAGATAGAGGAGGAGGTTGCGAAGGATGGCAAAGGGCATCGAATTCTCGACTCGCGCGCCAGCGCCGAAGCCATCGGTCACGTATACACCACCGACGACGACGCCAACACGACCAAGCGTTTCGAAGGAAACTCGTTTCGAGAGCGATGGATTCGTTCTGCGAGACACGTACTGTCTCTCTCTCACTTTCTCTCTCTCTCTCTCTCTCTCTCTCTCTCTCTCTCTCTTTCGTCCGAATTCCTACTCGCATCAAGACAAAAGCTTTCCTGTCTCCTGTGCGATCCTCGAATTTTAGCCTGCAACGTAGCCCCCTTTGATCGCCTACGTGTGCGCGTACATATAAAAAGAGACCAAAGGGACCAACTCGCTCTCTCTCTCTCTTTCTCTCTATATATTTTTATTTTCTTTTTCTTCTTCTTTTTATCACTAAAATTTCCACGAACAAATAGCTTCGTTCAGAATCTCGCGTGCAAGCAAGAGTTTTACTGTTATTCTTCGACAAGTGTGTGTCTCTGTCTCTATGTTTTCATTGCGTCCTATTATTTTAGAAGGTACGGAGGTCGAAGGGATCGACATTTTATTTCTTCCGCGCGCGCAGGGAAATACGAGACAGAACTCTTACTGCTTTTATATGCGTGACTTTTCTCATATCAGAATGCGTTCTGTCATGTTGGAAAACTTCAGTTTCTATGCAGCGAGGGAAGTGCAGAATTTTTTTTTCTACGTTTTGTTCTCCTTTTTCTCGCGAATGGAGACGTGGGCAAGAATTTCATAGTGTTGGGTGCTTTGGCATTGATTGTTTTGTCACGCTGAAGTTTATAGAACAAAACTTTCAGAGTATTGTCTTTGATTTGAAAACGGTTTAACAACTTGAAAGCGCGCACAAAGAAATTCGAAATGAGAGCTTTGCTTTCAATTACTTCTGAAAAGTGTATTACATTTGTTATATTATTCTATCCGAAAGAAGTAATGAAAAAATGTCTGCGTATTGTTTATTTTATTATCGCAGACTCGGTAAGCTTCTCTCGAATGATCCCATTTATATCTAATCAAACACTGCTTAGTCGTAAAAAGAGGAAAATAATGAATCCTAACTCACGAAACTATATACGACCTTGTCAAGTTTTATGCGATATCTATACGTTGTAGTGTATTAGGGCTGGAAAGGGATTGCGTTAGAGCATTCGGCAGGCTGGGCGGGATGTTTCGTGAAATGAAAATAGCATATTGGTATTACTCAGGGGCAAAAATTTTTAGGTCAAAGTTTTCTGATCAACTTTTCCGATCGCCATATAACGCAAGCAGGGGGCGTTTTTTTTTTGAAATATATAAATCCTCGGGAGGTCAATAAATACATCAAATCACGCCTTGTCAAGAATGAAATATACAGAGCATTATTTCTTCCGTATGAATTTATTTTTGTTGCAATCAAGCCGTATTGTAGTGTTGCAGTAGCACGATTTTGCAGCTGCATTGATTTACTGGGTTTTGTTTCCCCCTAATGAACGCTCCAACTTGCAGTAATGCCCTTAGTATGTAACGCACACGTTTCGATAATTCGATAGGGGCTAATGGTTCGTAAATGTGATTTTGTCGTAGTATGCATGGAACCTTCATCAGAAGGGCGTTCACGTTCAGCTAGATCGAGAAAAAAAAAAAAAAAAACTTGGAATTCATGAAAAGATCAAAAGTTGATTGGCACTTAAGCTTCCGCGTGATAAAACTTGAGAGTAGGCAAACTTGTATCCGTTAGATCGGAATACTTAGCGGATGGGCTGCGAAATTTGTAGTACAATGGGGCCAGGGAGCTTGGGCGCGCGAAGATGATGCGTGAGTCGTATTACGGCGTAATGCGAAATCGAATCGATTGTCCCCCTTCTTTCGGGCGGCGACGCGCGCTCGGTGGCTTGAGTTTCGGGGCGCGAGTGGCAATGGGAATTCGTAATGAGACGCGTGATTGATGACCCGATACGTCCACTCTCGCTCACGAAATTCGTTTTAAGCCGGTACGCGTGCACGCGTGATCGGCCTGTCGTTGAATCGCTCTCCTCGAAAAACATGATTTATTCAAGTGGACGATGTTATTACATTACGCACGCTTATAATCATTTCTCAATAAAGGCGCGCGCGCGATCGAAGACTTTCGTCTCGTTCCGTTTTTGCTCGCTTCGCAGATGCGAGACTCTCGCTATATGAGCTTTCCGCGTCATAAATTGACATATTACTGCTCGTTCTTCTCTGTTTTTTTATTAAATATATCGAAGCGATGAATGTGCAGGGGAGAAAAAAATACGCGAACCTTGTTCGCCGCGTAACATATCACGCGATATTAACTTCCGTCGGCGTAGTGTGAAATAGCTCGGGCTTTAAAAGTTTTTCTCACTCGCTTCACCCTGACTTTTCTTTTCTCCAAACTTATTTACTGTTAATAACGGCATAGTCGTCACTAAGGGATATTCTTTCCAGGGAAGATCTTGATTTATAAGCGTTTATTAGGGGAAGGGAGAGAGACTACCTTGTAGTCGAGGGAAGTAGCAACCGCAACTTCGGTTATACACCTGAGTAGTCGGCGTTCTACTAAATCACCGTGTAGACGCTAGTAACTGGTATAAAAGTCGCATATACAGGAGTCCATTTCGTAGCAAAACGGTCGCGTGAATTTATGTGCTTGTTATTGATTTTTTTTTCTCTATTTCCTTCTCTCTACCCCTTCTGTTTCACTCTGCTACGCAACAGTCTTAACAATTGAAAAGTGCCGATTATCAAGATCGCCGCACGTTATAGTTTATCATAACAATTCTCGTTTCGAAATAGATTTGGTCAGATTTAACGTTGAACGTGAAATACGAAATAGTCTTAAAAATGAAGAGCATCGTGTTTTTAGATTGAAAAGTATATCTACTTAACACGGCTATATAAAATACTTGGCAGTTATCTAGCGCAAGTCAAAAGAATTTCGTAACTCAAAGCGGCTCAAAGTGCTTTTTACTGCTCTGAAAGAGCGAGTGGAAAGAGAGAGAGAAAAAAATAACTCCACAAACTTAATAACTCCGGACCACTTTTTCTGGGGCTTTAAAAGTTCATCCCTACCTTATTTACAGTTAATAATGGCTAAGACCGTGGCGTAGAGGGTTTTCCAAGCAAAGATCTTGGTTTACAGGTACGTTTCTTACACGCGCGCACGCGCTACGTATAAAAAAAGCTAGCCACTCGAGTCCACAGGCAAACAAAAGAACATCCCCCTTACTGAGCTCTCTCTCTCTCTCTCTCTCGCGTATAGTGACACATGCACTTGAAATACGTAGCCACTATACAGCCACAACAAATACTGTCGCATTGAATGGGAAGCTAAATAATTCGATGTGTACGTTGCTGGGTCGCGAGGGCATATAAAGCATCGAGAGAGAGAGAGAGAGTTTTGTCGGCTCGTCCGAAAAATCCCCCTGTGCATACGCGCGATAGTGACGAACCCTAACTCGGCTCTACGAAGATCCACCACCAGTCAACGAGAGAGAAAAACAAGACAGAAGAGAAAGAAAGAAGGGGCACCGCATACAATACATAAATACACATAAATCGCGTAATAAGTCACGTAAAATCCCATTCTCCGAGAGGGGCTGCAACGAGACAGATGAGGCCAAGACAGAGCCCAATCTCTCATATAAGCAGATATGTATATACGCGCGCGCGCTCGTGGAATAACCCCGTAATGGTCCATGAAATGCTAAGGTATAAAGCCGAAAATAAAAATCTCCACTCTCTCGCTCGCACCTTTTCTCTTTCCTCGCCCTATCATTTTTTTTTTCTCGACTAGGTACACCGTTCAAGAGGTTTCCTGCGCGTTGCGCCACGCTCTTTCTCGTTTTCTCTCTTTTTCTTTTTTTTGGCTTTACTGCGCTTTTCTTAATCTGCACCACGAGTCCGACTTTATCTGGGTAATTGGGTATTTTCTCCTTCTTTGTTCAAGCTTTTTTTCTCCAGCTGTGGCTTTTATTTCGGCGCGCGCGCGTGAAAAGTTTCAAATACTGGTTAAAAAATCGTATAAATGCTCGATGAATATTAAAGAGCTATCGAAACTGAAGAAGTTCATTATAACGTTTACTTAATAAATTCCGCATGATTTTATGTTAACATTCTGATTGTGTAATATTTATAATGCTGATATGTAGTTTCAATAAATGTATAATTGTGATTTTATTTATATAGCAGCTCCTTATGGTTTCCATATATACAATCATTTAATTATAACACAATTCTTCAATTTACATAATTATAAAGTATTGTTAATACAATAAATTAAAACAATTTCTTTGAAGAGATTATTTAGTGTTGAAAATTGCATCTGTTTGCAACATATTTTATAATGTATACCTAAATAGTCACTCAACTTACTATCAAATTTTATTTTTCCTACATGTAACGTAATACGATTTTTTTTAAATATTATTATTGCAGACGAAAAACTACACATTCTGACATGTTTCATAAAAATTAGTTATGTAAATAAGAATCGTTTTATTTTCGAATAATACACGTTGGCAATAGAAAAAAAATCTATTTTTTTTGTCTTGAAAAATTAATTGCGTGACTAAAATTTTTATATATTTCTTTTCAGTACAATAAAAATGCTGCGTTGTTATTTCTGTTTCAGTCAAGGGGACCGAAAGGTGACGTACAGAGTCGACGAACTGGTGAATGGATCAACGTTCGACTCGCCAGCGATTTCGTGATATATACATACATAAAAATCGGTGAGTCGATGAGGAAATTTTCAAACTTTTTGTTCGCGCCGTTTTTGAAGAACGACTGCATTAAATTTTTTATTCAACTTTTTTTATTTCGATAATTATCTTGTTTTATGCATTTTTACTATCTTCGTAATTTACGATCTTGATGGATATCAAGTTTTTTTGTCAAATACTTATTTCTCAAATGACAATAAATGATTTTTACATTTGATTTTTTATTTGATTTTCAACTGATTAGCGTTTTTTAGTAAGCACTTCAGAAATAGACGTTAAGATCTTAAATATAAAAAAATATTTATTTTACAAATTTCTGAGTGAAATTACAAACCCTGAAGTGAATTCAATTTTGAACAATTTACAATTACATGTTGCAATATTAACGGATTCGATATCGAAAATTCAATACTAATTGTACCTGGCTTGTGTATTTCTATGGCACAGTATATTGATATCTGTTTGAAAATCCTCCTCTTATAAAAAAACAATCTATCAAAATGAAGCCAGTTTATTAGTTGGTGTTTTGTGATCGTAGTATATTGGGTATGCTTATAAAAGATTACTGCAAATTTTTCTAGATGATTAAACGTTCAAAAAGTCTATTAGTATATTTGGCATGAATTTAATATGCATTTATTGACGTAGTCATACTAACCTCAAAATAATGACCGATTGATACCTCGATAGAGAAATTAATTGAACTTTGCTCTATACGTAAGTTTAGCTTTAAATAAAAAAGGTAGGCTATAAAAGATATAAGTCGACATGATATCACAATAAAATATTGTACAGTGATTTCTATTTTATTAAGATACGTAAAATATTAGGAAATTTTTTTTAAAAAGGCATTAATTGCATCCGTGAACGTTCTATACCAAAGTATGTTGTTTACATCGTGAAGGATATGATTATAGAAAACTATGTTTTTAGAACTTATAATACATAGTTTATCATTTTTTTTCCAAATATTTGAATGATGATTTTTCAAGACAGAACTTAAGCTAGTAAAAAGCTAAAAATTCATTGATAAGATTTTCAAATCATAAGTATCGACGTAACTGTTACCGATAAATAATACCACCGACTATATCTCATATGAAATGAAGGAAATATTGAATGCATATTGAATTTTCGAATTTTTAATTTGGCCAATAAAAGTTTTAATCTATATTCGGGCATTAAAGTAAATGCAAAAGAAAAAATGGAAAAGACGAGCTTAACATCACTAATATTATAAAGAAATAAAAAGCGCACGATTGAAATACTAAAAGCTCGCTAATTTGTTTCTATGTTTCAGAAAAAAATTCATTGGGCCTCTTTTTTTCGTAGGCCATCATTTCTGCATCATCGAAGTAGTCCCATCGAGTGAGAAATCAGCAATTCTCCACTTCCACATCATTTTTAATCTTCAACATTCGTGGTAGCTTCGTAGTTTTTGCGCGCCAGTGAGCCATTAGAGCCAATCTCAACGTTAATGCAGCCTGTGTAATATTATTGTGTGCAACGAAATACGTAAAGATTTTTCTCTCTAACTTATCTCATCTTTATAAATCGAAAAAAAGTAAATAAAGTTCAATATTTTGCTCGAACATGTAAGATGACAAAATGTATAAGACAAAAAATTTGAAAGAATGTGAACATTAGTTCGAGCGTTATTGTGAATGTAAATAAAATTTTGTATATTTGTAATATAGATAGTTTATTGAATTATGAAATAAAGTCATTCATACATATATATGCGATTTTTCGTGTATATATTTTAAAGAATAAGAACAATTCACTCGTACGCTCATTTTACTCCATCCATTAAATTAGTTATTTCGAATGTTTTAAGTCCTTTTTTAATTTGTGTTGTAATTTATTATTAACATTTGACTTTAGCACATTGAGACTTTATGAATAATACACACAGATAGTAAATAATACAAGGTAAAAGTAGAACATAACGCAGTACATGCTAGTATACTTAGTTATCTGATATACAACTAGACATGTGTTTAATTGATTATAAAGAACATCCTTTAGAGTAAAACACTAAATACACGTTATTTGAACTGTCACTTGGAAAATGCGACTGTCTATTGTGGCGGCTACTTTCGGACTGACCACTTACATACATAAAAATGCATCTTCCGCACAGCTGCATAAGATGTTTGCGTCCGACGTCACTAAACTCCAACAATTTGAATGTTCAATTGTTCGCTTTAAATAAATTGTATCAAATCTTTGAAAATTGAAAATATAAAAATATTGAAATTGAAATTCATATTAATATATGAATATGAATTTAAATTCATATTCAACTCATATTCAAAAATTCATATATAAATGTTTCCTTGCTCTAATTTACAATTATTTTTAGACTGACATTATACTGTATTAAAACTTCATTTAAGTCATTTAAATCAGAAAATATTATACATTTTACAGTTAATGCGAGAATCATCTCGTGAGAGGATTGCATAGAATTTAATAACGTTATTTAAAACGAAATATTACCTTTTTGAATAGTATTAATAACTGTATTTGTTTATGAGATACATGAAAAATGTATTAATTTCAAATAACTATTATTCTTTTAAAAGGTTCTTTTGTTGAATAAAAAGAGCAAAAGATGTTTCCCAGATGGTATACAAAATTTTCATTTTAAGATTAGAATGCATAAAATCGATTTAAAATTTACGTCCTTAAATTTCAGTGTACAAGGTTTTTTCTACTGCTTCCAACGTATCCTCGGTTATGAAAGTTAATCTAATACTCTATTATGTTGTAGAGACATTATTTAAGACAAAGCAAACGTAAAACGATAATCAATTAATGGAGAAAAGGCACTGAATGAAAAATCAAAAATTCTCGATATACACTTAATCATTGTCTGTAGTAAAATCGGAACACGAGCATGAAACAAAAAAAAAAAGACAAAACAAAAAAAAGAAAAGATCTTTTGGCGTGAAAATGCATTTGGTCCAGCACATCTGCGTAATCGTCGCCGTAGCTGCATGAAAATTCTTTGACCGCCCATTACGGACTCCATTAGCATTCGTAATTTCGCGGCTCGTTCAGTTCCAGAAGACGCATACGGCTAAAAGCTAGACAAAGAGAGCGAGTAAAAGAGAAAGAGCGCACTGCACGGGGGTTAAAAAGAGGGGAATATTCATCAGATACGCGAGGCTTTAAAACCACCTCCGGTCTTTACTCTCCCACGGTCATGCACCCTCGAAACACACTAGCGGTGAAAGTGTCGAAAAAAAAGCCAGCGCGGCGGGCTTCGATTTGAAGATGGAGGTGCTCGCGTATATACGCTTTTAGAAGCCTTTTACGCGACTTTTTCTTAGTTCGCGTCGCGCGAAAAAAAAAAAAGAAGAAGAGGAAAGTCTCGCGAGCGAGTGCATGCGACCGGTAATGGGAGGATAAGCTCCAGTAAAAGCTGCCGTGAGCCAGCAGCGAACGTGCGTACAACTGTTTTTTTTTTGCAAACAAAGAGTGGAATGTATTACTGCTATTGGGCGGATGAGAGAAAAAAGGTATGCGCGCGTGAATGCGTTGGTCGAAGTGCCATGAAAAGCGCGAGAGATGAGTGCATATGAATGCGACGCTTTTTTTCCCGCGCTTTTCACCGGGTAAATACGCTCGAGTCAACTTCAGTCTGAAGATCTTGTACACTTTTGCCGACATATTTAGCGTGAGAGAAAAAAAAGCCGTAAAAAAGAGCAAAGTACCACGAGACGAAAATATAGTAGTAAAACTCGACTTCTTCGTCTTAATAAGGCTTTAAGTTTGATTTTTTTATTACTTCCAGTAGAATAAATCCCAGCAACGCGATAAATATTTATCATATCTGGTGGATATACGCTCGTATCACACGTCAAAGTCTCAACTTTTACAACGAAAATCTGTGATGATAGCTTTTTCATTTGGCTCGAGAAGGAATTGAATTTCAAGGAAGCTGATATTTGCTGCAACAGTGTCACAGCTCATCGAAAAAAAGCGCAATTTCATCGCAAATCCCCATAAGTTACCATCCCTGAAACAGTTGACTTTCCGTTTCCAATTTTTCCAGTAAAAATTCATCTGGTAATAAAACTGTCTCATACTCGAATACGAGAAATAACGCTGCAGCTTGTTCCTTTTGCATTACTCGACGGCAGAGCAGCAGCAGCGCACGAGGAATTGAAAAGGAGCAAAAAAAAAAGAGCTTTGGTTGCTCGCAGAAGACAAGGAAATTGAAAACGAGAAAACGCGCGCAGGGTGGCATCGGCGAGGGGTTGGTACGGCGGCGGTGGAAAGGATGAAAATGGAAAAATAAGATAAGAGATGAGAACGTAGTACATAAAGGCGCGGCGGTGCGCGTGCGACGGAATGCCCAGTACATAAGCATGTGAAGGAGAGAAAGGAGAAAAAGCAAGGATCGGCATCACTTATGCTCAGGAAAGAACGCGCGCAAGGCGAATAGGGGAATGTATTTACAGTTCTCTCTCTCTCTCTCTCTCTCTCTCTCTCTCTCTCTCTCTCTCTCTCTTCTGCTGCTAATGCAACGGCAAAACAGCTAAAATACGACTCTATTGTGAGACACATACAGGAGAAGAGAGAACTGCAGACTTACTCGTGCAGTCGGAAATATTTCAAAAACTTTTCTAATATTTCGCACTCGCCCGCGATTTGTACCGTAGTGCGCCCGCGTTTGCCCCATGTGGCATTCCTTCCGAATGAACCGCCGCTCTCTCAACTCTGTGGCTGTAACCTATTTTTTTTCGTTTTGCAGGGCTTTGACATTTCTGGAATGGTAAGGATTATACGCTCTAGCTCCTCATTAAAACCAAGAAAATGGTATAAGACGTCGAGTTCTTTTCCGTGGTTCAAGAGCGTGTATACGTTAGTGCCTTATCTCTATTATGAATTATTATGAGCCAAGTGTACTTTTGTGTCGCGTAGGCTTATTATGCCTAGGAAAAAAATTATTCAAAGCCAGTGGTGTTTCTTTCACTCAAAAGAATTTTCATCTCGTG